TTTCACAAGAAAGGCTTAGGAACGGCATATTCTTGAATGTTTTTTTAAATACTTTAGTACTCAATGATGCGTAAAAGCAAACCTTTCATCAATATTGGCAAGAAAATGTTGCTTCTAATATCCGAAACAATATGGCTATTCATCATGTGCATCCTATATTTAAAGACCCACCATACTATATATATATCCCTAACTAAACGAACAATTTCTGATCTCCGATTTGATTCCTTTCCAGCCCTGAGCATTTGAAAGCAAAATGAAAGAACCAAAGAAGGATCTTTTTTCCAGTGGATAAAAGTCTATCTGGTAGATAATGCAATCATGTACCCTAACAATTTTCACTGGATAGTAATTTGTCCAATGGATAGCACTTATACTCCAACAACCTGAATCTAGTTAAGTACATTGTAAGGACTTAATACAACATGATTGCAGGCAAAGATTAGAAATCTTTTGAGCATGTCATTTTAGTTGCAGGTCTAGTGGAGGGGCCATTCTCAAGCCATTACATTCGAGGCCAGGCCCTTTTGGATGAGCGGGCTCCCCACTAACTTAAAGATCTGAATCCTACGGCCGGTTTGCTAAATTATCTGGAATAAAACAGCCAATTACTAACTAGTTGAACTGTTACCCTAAGGAATACCTTTCCTCTTTATTAAAATAAAATGCAAAACTGCCATATCAACAGTGTCTGCATAATTTTTGGAGACCACGAAACAATAACATGCTGTGAGTTCTACACCTCTTTTCTCCAATTCTCCTGGGTGCCAGAGGTTTTTTTTTTCTTTCCTAATTTCTTTCATAATTTTCTCTCGTTAGTGCTGAGAGAAAAAAAAAACCTCTGGTCACAGCAGTTATGAGTTTCCACTGACTCTGACAGCTGAGATTTGATCGTACGTGGCTCTGCCTCTGCGATGCATGAAAATAGAATTGCCTAAAAGTTCACTTAGAGAGGAAAATGCTATTAAAATTGTCACATATTCCTTTGCAAAAAAACCCACAATTTTTGTTTCAACCATATAAAAAGGACAGAAGAACACACTCTGTAACTAGCTGTTTTTAGAAGCCAACACGCAGGATAACATGTATTTCTGGTCCACGATGCAGGTATCACTGTACCAGGTCAAACTAAATATTACCAGACAGATCAGAATGGCTATGCAAAACAAAAGATTATTAGTTGCTGATTTTGTAGCAAATAAACAGCACCACAAACTATCAGAAATTAGGAGAGAAAGACAAAAACCCTGGCACCCAGGGTACTATCCATGAGAATCTAACACTGTGCAAACAACACTGCAGAACTGAGCCCAGCATGACAAAGCAGGATAGCAAATCATCACATTCATTCAAAGTACGTCCTTTGGTCAGATAAATCAAAGCAAAGTGTCTTCCTCAAGCAACTTAGATTCAGTTGTCGGATGTTTTCAAATTCGAAGTTGAGCCAGAGATTGCTGAGCCACACTTCTAAAAGACACAGGAAGCTCACTCTGAATTGTTTGTTAAGAACATCGAAACTAGTTTTCAGTCTCATGGGCAGAAGTTCTTTGATGACGCCAATCACGTTTGCTGTTACATAGTTAATTCCCTGCAGAGAGTAACCAGTGGGTGGCCCAGTTCAGATTCTGAATCTAATTTTGTGACCAGAAGTCCTTCTTGGGAGATCTATCAAGCTGTGAGTATGGTTTATTTCATCCTAGGTACTTTGAGAATGGGCCTGTGGAGTCAAGGTTAATAGAATTGATCTCTGTATTTGGAATAGCTTTTTGCTTGCACTTTACTTTGCAAAAAAACAAGATGATGAAACCAGTGATAATTAGTAAGAATATGGTATATAAGAAATTTCTTTCCCCTTTCTTTACATTTACAAATGTATAATTTCCGGAATCCTCATTGCATGTGACCAGTTTGGATGTGATGCTCCTGTCAGGCTTGTCAGCAGGATTTGGCTGTTACATTCTGTTTGAAGCATCTTCCACTTACTCACATAGTAGAACTGAACTGGGGACAGGGCTGACACATTTATCCATCACGGTTTAAATGCATTTCTCTAATACATCTTTGTGAACTGATGCAATACAAGCTTTGTAGTGTATTTGCTTCCTCCTTTCTTCTCCATTTTCATTGGCAACAGGTATGGTGGTTTTTTCCTTCCATTCATTTGTTTCAGAATCAAACATTTCAACTGACAACTCTCTAGCTGTATAATACTTGGAGGTATTCTTTAAGCCACCAATGACATACATACGTCCGCTGAAGCACACCATGCTTGCAGAATGACGTGGTACACAGAGGTTTCCCATCAGACGCCATTCGTTGGTTGATGGATTGTACACCTCACATGTATTCAGCAGTATACTTCTCTGCTCTCTCAATTGAATTCCACCTGCAACATATATCCTGTCATTCATGGCTGCTCCAAATGCATCATGCCGTACCTCATTCAAAGATGCGACCTCTTCCAAAATCTCAAAATCTGGATCAAACCTTTCTACTTTAGTTAATCCAGTTGCTGTGGTATTACTTCTAGTAGTGCCACCTATAATGTAAAGGTATTGTCCATGTGCCACTCCACAAGCTCCCCATCGACTTCTCTCGTTTCCTTTTATTTCCCATTTGTTCATATCAGGAGCATATGTGAATATGGTGTTTTCAGGAA